CGCACACACACAACCACTACCACACCCACACCGCACACCCAGACCCCCCAAATTAGAAAGGTGCTTTATAATCTTTTGAAGAAAAAGAGAAAAAAACCAACCATAGTTAAAAAGAAGTTGTGATTATACTCCCTGCAAATTTAGTCTTAACAAGAAAGATCATTTGTATAGTAAAAGACCAAAATGGAGAGATATATAGAGATGTTTATGTAAAATAAGCACGATATTTGGAATCAACATGAAAAAAATACACTAAAAAGTTTTTTTTTCATTGAAATTTAACGCATAGAAAATCAATGGACAAAATTTATGGAATAAAAGGTTGAGAGCGAGCAGAGGTTACATTTTTTGATAGAAAATAGATTTTTTAGTTTATTTTTCATGCTAATTCCGAATATCGTGCTTATTATAAGTACATAAAAATCTCGAAATACCTCCAATTTTTGGTATTTTCTTATGTAAATGACTCTTCCTTGAAGTATTAAGTGTTTTGCTAAGATCAAAAATATCCAAATTCTACTTGAATGATTTTATGTCATCATGATACTACTCACAATCAAAAAATAGTTAAATGAGAAAAAAATGCTTTTAACACAATCCTTACAGCTTTAGAATGTGAAACACGATAGACCTTCTTATTTTGTAAATGAAGGCATTCAGCAATATATGTATGATTTTTTTCAATTACTCTATAATGTTACAGTAAGTGTAGAAAGATATACATCGGAAATTCCATTGTATTTTACAAGAATTTCGCAATAAACTTCACTTTCATGACTATGTTTGTCATAGTCTGTGATCCCGACGAGATGTTGCTATGGCATATGTGATAGAAACTTGATTATGTCAGCCAGATAGAGATTGACAGTTCAAAAGACTAGAACCAAGAACTGAACAGGAATCGTTAAATCATCAAACAGATGCAAAAATTCTCGAATTTATGCTAACCAATCCTAACTCCTCAAGACCTGAGATTGAAGAGTTCAATAGGGTTTTTGTAAGTGTCTTATTTGAATAATGAAGTGTGTGATACCTTTAATTTTAAAACTAGAAAATCAAATCTTTGGAAATATGCAAAAATCTTGGCACCCGTTTGATGACTTAATGGATTTAGTTCTATGCGACATTTTTGAAACCGAACCAGAGCTGCCTTTTTTGGAATTTTTTATAACCGAAATTGCACTTGTCATGCCAGTTTCGATTCCGAATAATGACTGGAATTGCTGATCTCTACTGTGGAATCAAATTTCTATCTATATATAGTTGAATACTTCTCGCAGATCATGTTTCAGAAAAATTGTGGGAGATATAACATATTGGAAAGTGCCACTTCCTTTGAGTGAACATTCATTTTTCTTAGTCGAAATAGATCTCTGCTGTACGACAATTTTCTAGTTCATACCTATCTCCAGGATTAATAAATATAGTAAAAATTAAATAATAATTAATGAATCACAAGCTACAGAAAACTCTGTTTCGAAGTTCAATTGGTCTTAACGAATTCATGTACACTAAGAAATTCACCATGAATAAAAGTCTAGAAGACTTCACTGTATTTCTGGTTAGATTTTAAATATCGAAGGCATTATTTGATTGTCCTTTCAGGTAATTGGTTACAAGAAACTGATTATCAAATGATTGAAGAACAACTTCAAACCAACACTCCACTAGTGGTTCAAGTGCACTTGAAGATGATGAAACTTATCTATATCGTCGAGATACATCTTTAACTTCGTTTAATATTATTAATTATCTTTTTCGTTCATCATCAACAACAGATAATAATTCTAATAATGCTTATTATTCTCGTCTAGTGGAATTAAATATTCCTGATCCATTACCATTAGATGTTGCTGTTATTGATGCATCAATACTTCTTTATGGTACAATATTTATTCGTGTACCAAATAAACATCGTTTAAATATGTTACAACATTCTATTGATATAATTAAACAATCAAAAGAATGGATGGAAANGCTGTATTCAGTCCCAAGTCCTATTGGTTTGGCAATACCCAATAGAAATCAACAGTTTAGAGGGTAGGTTCCCCAGTATAATTTTGATGTTTACACATTCTAGGATGGCTAATTCGTCTGATTCACTTTTTGAAGTACGCATAACTCTCGGATTTAAATCCGAAGTTTCCGCATTTATTTCTTCTTTAAATCGATGCTTGAATTTTTATGAACATCTTGGTTGATTAGTTCGTCGATCATATGAAGAAACTGGTCCACTGTTACTTAAAATATTAAAGAAATGTCTGATTCTCAAATGTGTTTTGAAATAATGTTTACATTTGAACGTATTATTAATGAACTTGATTCAGCTGGTAATAATGTTTATCGTGAAATATTTAAAGTTGCTAAAACTCATCTTTATGATCGAGCTATGTCTGTTCGATCAGCCGCTGCAACGATATTTATTCAGATTTTTTGAATTGATTGTTTTTTTTTAAGTTTTTTTTTAGTGTTTAATTGCTTTAATTAATCCAAATAATTTTACGCATACAAATGAACTAGAAGAAAATGTTACATTAGATTTTCGTGCACTTGATGGTTGAAATTATGAAGTTTGTTGTTCAATAAAGAAATATTTAACAGCATTATTAGCTGCAACATAAGAAAGCTTTAAGTGCACTTTGTTCTAGGATATGATTTTTAAATAATTGTTCAATAGGTGATGATCATTTAATTACTGATGATTTACTCAAATGTACGTTAAATTCAATTGAAAATGCAATACTTATACTTGTTCATATAACAAATTTAATTAAACAATTTAGTCCAAAATTAAAAGCACCAACAGTTATGTTTCATTTACATTTATGTGAACTTCTTTCACTTATATCAATTAAATTTTATGAATAACATTTGAAAGTTTTATTAAGAGTATTATTTGCAGAATTTATATTAACTGATAATTCATCAAATACAACAATATCTTTACTTTGATCAATTTGTCATGATAATGATAGTGCTTTGCTTGGTAAGAATTAGAAAGTTGCTTTATAATCTTTTGAAGAAAAAGAGAAAAAATCAACCATAGTTAAAAAGAAGTTATGATTATACTCCCTGCAAATTTAGTCTTAACAAGAAAGATTATTTATATAGCAAAAGACCAAAATGGAGATATATAGAGATGTTTATGTAAAATAAGCACGATATTTGGAATTAACATGAAAAAAATATACTAAAAAGTTTGTTTTTTTTTCATTGAAATTTAACCCATAGGAAAGCAATGGAGAAAATTTATGGAATAAAAGATTGAGAGCGAGCAGAGGTTAAATTTTGGTAGAAAATAGATTTTTTAGTTTATTTTTCATGCTAATTCCGAATATCGTGCTTATTATACATAAAAATCTCGAAATACTTCCTAGTTTTGGTATTTTCTTATGTAAATGACTCTTCCTTGAAGTATTAGGTATTTTGCTAAGACCAAAAATATCCAAATTCTACTTGAGTAATTTTATGTCATCGTGACACTACTCACAATCAAAAAATAGTTAAATGAAAAAAAATGCTTTTAACGCAATCCTTAGAGCATTAAAATGTGAAAGACGATAGACCTTCTTATTTTGTAAATGAAGGCATTCAGCTATATATGTATGATTTTTTTTCAATTACTCTATAATGTTACAGTAAGTGTAGAAAGATAGGCATCGGAAATTCCATTGTATTTTACAAGAATTTCGAGTTCTGTCACATATCCAGAATATCAGGGATGCTGGAGATGCCACGAGAGATGCGAGAGATGCCAAATTGCCTCATAACATACTGTTCATTTACTACACATATCTGCAATTCCTGCCATACATGCATCTCCTGTAGAGACGCGGAATCTCCCGCACATATCCACAAGGAAATGCCGTATCTCCCAAATCTCCATCTCCCTGCATTTCCTGATAAAATTTTTTTTCGATTTTTGGGCTTGGACCCTTGAGGAAGATGCATCTCCCTCAGGAGATGCGGTATCTCCTGTAGAGATGCGGCATTTCCTGCACAGCTCCACAAGGAGATGCCGCATCACCCAGATCTCCATCTCCCTGCATTTCCTGATAAAAATTTTTTTCGATTTTTGGGCTTGGACCCTTGAGGAAGATGCATCTCCCTCAGGAGATGCGGTATCTCCTGTAGAGACGCGGCATCTCCCGCACATATCCACAGCGAGATGCCGCACCACCCAGATCTCCATCTCCCTGCATTTCCTGATAAAAATTTTTTTTTCGATTTCTGGGCTTGGACCCTTGAGGGAGATGCATCTCCCTCAGGAGATGCGGTATCTCCTGTAGAGAATCGAAAAAAAAAATTTTTTTATCAGGAGATGGAGATTAGGGAGATGCGGCCTCTCCATGTGGAGATGTGCTGGAGATGCCGCGTCTCTACGGGAGATGTGCTGGAGATGCTGTGTCTCTACAGAGATGTGCTGGAGATGCCGTGTCTCTACAGGAGATGAATGTATGACAGGAATTGCAGATATGTGTAGTAAATGAACAGTATGTTATGAGGCAATTCGGCATCTCTCGCATCTCTCGTGGCATCTCCAGCATCCCCGATATTCTGGATATGTGACACTGCTGAGAATTTCCCAATAAACTTCACTTTCATGACTATGTTTGTCATAGTCTGTGATCCCGGCGTGACGTTGCTATGGCATATGTGATAGAAACTTGATTATATCTGCCAGATAGAGATTGACAGTTCAAAAGACTAGAACCAAGAACTGAACAGGAATCGTTAAATCATCAAACAGACGCAAAAATTCTCGAATTTATGCTAACTAATCCTAACTCCTCAAGACCTGAGATTGAAGAGTTCAATAGGTTTTTTGTAATAGTGTCATTATTTAAATAATGAAGTGTGTGATACCTTTAATTTTAAAACTAGAAAATCAAATCTTTGGAAATATGCAAAAATCTTCGCACCCGTTTTATGACTTAATGGATTTAGTTCTATGCGACATTTTTGGAACCGAACCAGAGCTGCCTTTTTGGAATTTTTTATAACTGGAATTGCTGATCTCTACTGTGGATTCAAATTTCTATCTATATACTTGAATACTTCTCTCAGATCATCTTTCAGAAAAATTGTGGGAGATATAACATATTGGAAAGTGCCACTTCCTTTGAGTGAACATTCATTTTTCTCAGTCGAAATAGATCTCTGCTATACGACAATTTTCTAGTTCATACCTATCTTCAGGATTAATAAATATAGTAAAAATTAAATAATAATTAATGAATCACAAGCTACAGAAAACTCTGTTTCGAAGTTCAATTGGTCTTAACGAATTGATGTACACTAAGAAATTCACCATCAATAAAAGTTTAGAAGACTTCACTGTATTTCCGGTTAGATGTAAAATATCGAAGACATTATTTGATTGTCCTTTGAGGTAATTGGTTACAAGAAACTAATTATCAAATGATTGAAGAACAACTTCAATCAACACTCCGCTAGTGGTTCAAGTGCACTTGAACATGATGAAACTTATCTCTTTCGTCGAGATACATCTTTAACTTCGTTTCATATTATTAATTATCTTTTTCGTTCATCATCAACAACATATAATAATTCTAGTAATGCTTATTATTCTCGTCTAGTGGAATTAAATATTCCTGATCCATTACCATTAGATGTTGCTGTTATTGATGCATCAATACTTCTTTATGGTACAATATTTATTCGTGTACCAAATAAACATCGTTTAAATATGTTACAACATTCTATTGATAGAATTAATCAATCAAAAAGTGTACAACAAGAAGCTGTACAAGTTAATATATTTACAGCTATTTTAATAGCATTAAAAACTTTAGCTAAAACCAAATAATCTTCATCAATCAATGATGATAATGTGAATAAATCAGCATGTATATTTGTTGTGCAAACATTAAGTCATCAAAATTTCATCTTATGTTGTGCAACTGATGAAAATCTTGGTCGTTTAACACAAGTTGTTGGTGATGGACGTTTTGTTGCTGATGTAGCACAAATATGTTTTGATCGTTTGAAAGAATTTCACGATGTTTCATCTCGTATAGGTTATTCATTAGCACTTGGATGTTTACATCGTTATATTGGTGGAATAAGTACAAGATAATATTTAAATTTATCTCTATCAATACTTCTTGTACTTGAACAAGATCAATCGGCATCAATTGTACAAGTATGAGCATTACATGGTTTAGCATTAATTGCTGATTGTAGTGAACAAATGTTTCATTGACATATTGAACCATGCTTAGTATTAATTTTATATTTTCTTCTATCAATTTCACTATCACAATCTGATGTATTTCAATGTTGTGGACATTTACTTAGTGCTTTAATTATAACACTTAATCCTAAACTTCAAACAAATACAAATTATATATCAATATTACGTTCATCATGTTTAACAGCTAGTAATCTTTTACAAATGCATATTGAACCAATTGTTCAAGCTGAAGTTATACAAGCTTTACAACAATTACATTTATTTGCATAACGTCATGTTAATTTATCAACATTAGTACTGGAATTAATAAAATCATTAAAAAATCGAGATTTATCATTAAGACGTGCATATGTGGGTGTGGCTTTTTATTTTTAACCTAATCAAACTTACATGCTTACAAGCGCATGTGCAAGCAGAAGATTTTTTCGTGGATAAAATTCGAATTCACCTACTCTTTTTTTTATCAGAAGAACTTCTACACAATTCGACCATCAACATACATTAGAAGTACGATAAAATCTAAAGAGTATAATGATCATCAGGTAACTACTAAGTACGCATGCTTATGGTGGGGTGTGGATGTGGATATGGATGTACTAAGAAAGACTCCCATCCACACCCACATCCTCTTTAAAAAAATCAATTCCATTATATTTAGGTCAATCGATGATTACATACAAATGTGTGATTGTTTCTATGGACGACATCGGTCAGATAGAATATTTGAGTATGTCAATATAAATACTGACATTTATAAGATGAGTAAAATAGACACAGATATAGATGATCATGGAATATTCGTGTATTCAATTGAATGATTTACCAGATGAAATTCTTATTTATATTTTAAAAAAATCGTCTAATGCAGAAGTACTTTATTCTTTATTAGGTGTCAATAAACGATTAAATAAAATTGTACATGACTCTATTTTTACAAATGATTTGTCTCTTTTGATGTCTACATCGGATGGTTTTGTTTATTCATTACCTGATCTAATACTTTATCGATTTTGTTCACATATTTTACCTAAAATTCATCAAAAAATCCAATGGCTTCACCTCGAATCACTTTCAATGGAACGTATTCTTCGTGTTACAAATTATCCTAATTTATATGGAATTAGTTTACATAATATTCAATCAAAAACAGCTATAGATCTTTT